GGGCTCTTGGTCTAGCGCTGGGGCTGGGAGCCCGGGGAAGCCTGGTTTGTGGGGTGGGGGTGTTGGGTGGGGAGCGGCGGGGAGAAAAAGGCGTGGGAGGAGCGCGAGGCAAGGGAGACACCCCCCCGGGGGGGGCTAACTGAGCGTGGGCTCCTTGATTGGCTGGGGCCACCAGACCCTCTGGTGGAGAGGCGAGGGCGAGCGGAGCGACAAAAGCGCCCCAGCAGTGGGGAGGCACGCCTGTGAGACTCCTTCGCTGGGGATCAGGAAAGTTTGTTCCTTTCGCCAAACTACGGGGCTTGGGTTAGGGGAAATCGCTGGAAGCTTTACTTTGTGCCAAAGTGTCGCTGAGCGGCGGCTAAGGAACGTACGTCTCTATTCATATATTTTTCTATTCTCTGTTCACTCTGTCCTCTGAAAGCGTAGTTGTAGGGGCAAGTCCTGCGGTGTCCGTCTCTTTCCCCATCTTGTATGGACTCCTCCTCCCTTACCCTTTCCCCTTTGCCTGGCCCCCTCATTCCGTTTTTCCTGATGCAAACTGTGTTGTCTCGGATTCAGACTGAGGAAATGTTTTCCTCCTGTTCCTTGAAAGGTGTCAGGCTGCTGAGCAGCTCCTCCAAGCAGCCTGGGAGCGTCTGAGCCGCAACCACCAACCATATGGTTCCCGTTACAAAGGCCGGGTTCTTAGGCACTCTCCTCCCCGCCCCTGCCCCCAATTTTTAAATTTTCTTTCGCATTCTTTACACTACGTATACTTCTCCTCTCTTCCAGAGGCGTAGATTTAACGAACGTGGTTTGTCCATTCATTTCCTTGTCAGTGTTTGTGTCTGGAACGAGCCCCACCGAGTTTGCTCTTTGCTCAGCTCGAGTTGCACAATTAGGAAAAGTCACATCCGTTTGGTAAATAATTGCCTGTTGGGTTGTCTCTTACTAAATCAAGTTTGATCTTGGACAAAACTTAAAAGATGGGCACTAAGGCGGCAGAATGCGTCCATAGCAGAAAAGTAGTTTGTGTGCTGTCTTTGGCAACATTCCCAGTTGTGATGGGACTCCTGACCTAGGTAAAAGGTAACTTTGTAACTTTAACTTAGTATCTTTATAATGATACTTGAGAAACTCCTTATAAGAAAATCTACTTCTGTTCAGGTGTGTTATGGAACTTTTTTGTTGGCCTTCCTTCCACCCTCCAATACATTTATGCATGATAGAATACTGCAGAACAAATGTTCTGTTGTTTAGTTTCTTCAGACATTCTGATTCTCTCCTTTTGTTGCTTGCCTCTAAAAGAGGTGCCATTTCACATCATTCTGCACAAATTGTTTGAATTAATGCAAGTGTGAATTCTTACCGTTTGAAGGGGACTATTAGCATATCAAAGGTTTCTTAGCTTCAGCTCGATTGAGAAAACTTCAGCCTGTCTTCCATTTGCTTCCAAGTGGAGGCCCAAAGGGCAATGAGAATTGTAAAGGGTAAAAATAGGGAGGTGGATTCAGGCTGTGTTTCTGCACTTTTACTGTTTTGTAATTATGTGAACGAAAAACATTGTCTGTTGCTGTGGAGCCCTTGCAAATGGAAAGACAATTATTTTCTATTGATAGATGGTTTGTTCCTAGAAAAAGGGTGACCTTTTATTTTATGATAGTCACTGTTGCCTGTCTTTTGGGGTCCCTTGAGTGGAAGAGTGAAAAAGCTTTTCCTTCTAACTTAATACTTTTCTAGGGCCTACACTTTGTTACATGAGTAAAATGGTTAAGAAAGGCTTTTAATTAGTGTGTAAAACAATAGAAATCTTGTGATAAAAGGACACATTTCTATACCTTGGAAACTTTATTTTTAATAAGCTTGCTAAATTAATAGGTAAAATTAGTGGAGAGTTGAGTATTAAGACTCAACATGAACTTTGTTAGTGCAACTTCTATTGCAAGTGTAAGTTTGAAAAAGGTTTTTTTCTAAGTGATGCTCAAATTTTTCGTGAATTGTATATAGAGATAATTGTTTGAATATTGATTTTTTGTCTCAATTTTTGTATTTTATCAAACATAGTGAACTTGTGAATTCTGCTTAAAGTTGGTTTGTTTTTCTTAATATTTATAGCATTATTTGCTCATGCTTTTTTAAATTTGCACAGAGATAGGTTCTTTGAATTTCTTTTAACAACTCAGTATCCATTAATGAAGAAACAAGTAAGAACAAGTACTTGGGTCATTTGAATCATTTTTTGGTGAGCAAATGGGTCAAGGGAGAACTTTTATCTTCAACTTCTGGAGAAATAATTGGTTTTGTTTATTTAGCTTTAGATTTCCTAAAACCTAGTTTCAAGATGAAAATGAATCTCAGGGATGGTTTGGAGATTTGTAAGATTTGTAATATTTTACCTTTGATGGTTGATTGATTTTGAACGTGAATTGATGTCCTTTCATTAGAGGAGGACTTTTTATCCTCATGTTCAGAACTCCTTGTTTTTCTTTTAAAAGTGAAAATTTGGAGGGAAAAATAATTATTAATCACTTAACATTTTAATCTTCAGTTTAATAGGATGATAATTTTTTTAGTGGCATTTAAGTTGTGTATTATTACCCTGAAATCAGTAAATGATAGTTTATTTATCTGATCCCTTCAGTTGTCTAAGAGTACTTTTGAGGCAGAAAAGCCCACGTTGATGTAATTGCTGTTATTGCACTTAAGTTGCTGTTAGCTAGTCTGCTTTGAATGCAGAGTGCTGTAAAGAAAATACATTATCCTTTAGAGCTATAAGCGATAATCTAAAAATTGTCTTGAAAACATTGCTCTTCATTTTACATGATGGTGATCCTGAATTCACCAAATTTCTAAATGTGTAAAATGCAGTGAGAAGATTTTTCAACAGTAAGATGACAAAACTGGACTGTTTAGACAAAAATTAATGTGTTGTAGAAGCACTTCAGCTGCCATCTTCAATCACTGTGGGTTACTATGTGTTGGCAACAGAAAACGAATTTCGAAATGCAGATAGCTCTGGGAGCAGGTAGTTGGGGAAATGACAATATTGAATCATGTGGGGTAGAACAAACCAATTACTTGAGGTTTTGACTTGAAGTGTTCCAATAAATATAATTTTTTCCAGGCTTTTGACTCTCTTATTAATGGACTAACATCAAAGCAGACAACAAAATGTCCAAACGTTATAAAAACTAATATAAATATACAGATCTCATATGGAGTACTGCAAGTCTTAATTTAAGGCAAGCGTTTGGAGTTTTTATTGCTGCAATTTTCACAATGAGCAAAAACGTTAACACCAAGCTTCTGGGCGTTTCCTTTCTTAAAATTAACAAGAGAAGAGCTTTAAAACTAAAGTTTACTTAGGGCTAGAACTTTATTTGATCATTATTGGAGCTTTCCATGTTTTGTTAAAAATTTTTAAATAATATTTTAGTGTATTAAGTAATATAGGAATATGAGAGCTAAGATTGAGATGTTGGGAAGGTCAGGAGGTAACTAGAAATCGGCACGTCATAGTAATAAAATGTAACTGCTCTATTTCCTCTCAAAATATTTATTTGATCTAATTTTGTGAATAAATATTCAATAACACTGAGTTTACTGACAGGTGTACTATGAGATGAAGAGAGCATTA